GGGGGGGGGGGGCTAGTGCGTCGTAAACGCTCATAGCAGAGCCACTTTAGGGGATCTTATTGAATCCCGATCCCCCTCGTGCGGCGCCACGCCCATTCACTCCTTGTCTATCCCCGCCGCCATAGCCGCAAGTGAATGGGCGAGGCAGGAGTGTTGCCAACCAAGTAGGCAAAAAAAAAAAAAAAATTCTTACGGTTGCAGGATTATTCGCCAGGGCTATACTAAGTAGGTACACTGTAAATCCGGGGTGTCCAGCAACTGTGCGACAAAAGGTGCCCGGCGCTAAAACCTGTGCAACTTAAGTCGCACAGCTGCTGGACGCCTTGAAGTTTGGCGCCCTTTCCCTGCAGAGGGGCCCAAGCAAGAGGTGTCCAACAACAAGACACCCTACCTAGGCTTGGCCTGGAACCTTGTGCAGGGAAAAGGGTGCCAAACCAAAATGTGTCCAGCAGCTGTGCGACTTAAGTTGCACAGGTTTTAGCGTCGGGCACCTTTTGTCGCACAGTTGTTGGACACCCCGGATTTACAGTGTAGGCAAGAACTTGCCTCCATGACACACATAATAGATGCGTGTGGAGCGGGCTGAATCAACGCCCCTCTAGCTCTCATAGCGCCTGATGGGTAGGCAACTTATCGCCTGCGACGCATGCGTGTGCAGCGGGGTGGCCTACCCCAAGTTTCGCAGGCGCTGAGGAGCTCTCGCAATTTTTCGAACGAATCTGAGGGAAACGGGCGTTCTTTATCGACTATCCTTAGTAGGTACGCTTCACTAAAGTTGCGTTCGTGGGTCGCCTTTGCCTCTATTTTCACCGAAAACCCAAGTGTGAGAATGTTGCACACGAAATGCAAGTGTGTGAATGTCGCTCACCTGTAGGTGTGTCGACGCCATTTGTGCCCATGGATGCACAAGTGACTGTATACATTTCGAAAAAGAAAATTCACACATTTTACTCCCGTGAATGTACGAATTATAGGCACTCACACACCTACAACAAGTGCGCGACATTCACACTTGCGTTTCCAGTGTGGCTACTGTTTGCAACACTGCGGGGAACAAGCGAGCAACAGCAGCAGCAGGTGAGCTTATAAGGGACTGTCACGAAATGACGAGCAGGGGAGCAGGGTGAGAGGGGTGCGGGCGGCACAACCGCTTAGCTGCACGCAAAGGACTCCATTAAACATCTGCAGGGTGGGGTGGGG